TCATTGTCACTGGAAGTGCAGGAAACAAATGTACAGTAATGCACTGATAAGTACAAGTCTTTGTTCTGTACAGTGGAGCACTGCACTAATGTGAGTCTTAGTTCTGAACAATGGAGCACTGCACTAATGTGAGTCTTAGTTCAGAACAGTGGAGCACTGCACTAATGTGAGTCTTTGTTCTGTACAGTGGAGAATTACACTAAGTGAGAACCTTTGTTCTGTACAGTGGAGCACTGCACTAATGTGAGTCTTAGTTCTGTAGAGGGGAGCACTGCACTAATGTGAGTCTTAGTTTCTGTAGAGGGGAGCACTGCAGTAAGTACGAGCCTTTGTTCTGTACAGTGAAGCATGCTATTTCAAGCTCCACTCAGTACATTCGCCATTGGTGAAAATCATGGGGGAGAACAGTAGAGTGATGGGGTTTCTATTTAGTAATAGTGTTGACTTTGATAGGTCTAGAAACTTTGTTGTAACTGCTTTGGCTTTGGTAAATAATTCATGGCTGATTATTGGGAATTTTATATTGCATGAATACTACTTGAAATTGTGAATTTTGTCAAGAGATACAGTTAGTGGCGCTTGTCTTACAAAATGTACAAAGCCAGGCTTTGATGTGAAAGGACTGTATTCAAGTTCTGCTTCTGCTACAGATTTGTACACTACTTGGAAAATCTCCTGGCTTCATGGAGTTTCTGCTTCCTCCTACTTAAAATGAAACAGTTAGGTGATGAACATGGAGACAGAATAATAGTGTTCTGTCTATTTATGACAGTGGCTCTAGTGCCAGAGAGAACTAGTGGTGTACACTTATCCCTCAGTAAACCTTCCTGCAGGCATTGGGGTGATTTGTAATTGTGACATTCCATTATACAATGATTGAAGAAGGTTTTAAAATATGAAATTGTCACAGTACAAACATGTACAATGCACGCACATACTGCAAGTGAAGAGGTGGTGAGGAGTATGTGACATTTACATGACTCCATTGTTCAAAGTGGGGAAAACGGCTTTAACATAATTGCTACCCTGGATTTACTGCTGTAACTTAAAATGGTTTATTTTCTATGTATGAATGCTTTAAAGAATTTTTAAACCTCTGTTTTTATTGTATGTTTATGGGTGTTTGGTCTGCATGGAAATCTGTGTACCACTTGGGTGCAGTGTTGCAGAGGATCATAGACAGCATCTCCTGGGACTGGGGTTAAAGACTGTTGTGAGCTACCATGTGGGTGCTGGGAATCACACCTGGATCCTCTGGGAAAGCAACTAGTGCTCTTAACTAACTGAGCCATCTCCCCAGTATGAGTGTTGTTCCTACATGTATGTCTGTTGCCTGCATGCCTGGTGCAAAAGAGGGTACCAGATCCCCTGAGACTGGCGCTGGAGTGACCATGTGGGTGCTTGGGAACTCAGCTTAGGTCTTCTACAGGCTCAGAAAGTGCTCTTAAATGCTGGTTCGTCTCTCAGGCTCCAACTGTGTTAATCTAACTTCACAGCAAACTGTAAAATTTAGGGAAGCAGGACTGGCCAGATGGATCATTGGTTAAAGGTGCTTGCTACCAAGCCTGATCACATGAGTTCAGTTCCTCCAGATGGAAGGTGGAAAGAGAGAAGAGATTTCCACAAGTTGTCCTTCGTCCTACACATAAGCTCTGTAGCATGGTGGCTCATGCACCCACACATAAACAAACAAAATAAATGAATACAATGCTAAGGAAGTTGTTTATTTATTTTCAGACACCAAGACTTTTCATTAAGGCATGTCCCATCAGGAGAAGGTTCAGAATTCATGCATCTAATAAACTCATACACACTAATGAAAGGTTAACCTATGGGAACCAAGTTAAAAATCAAACCCCTTGGTTTTCTTGGAAGGGAAAGGTGTATGTGGATATGTTACCCATGCAAGACAAACTGAGGAAGGTTCTTTTTGGTTTGATCTTGTCTCTTAGAGCTCATTGGGCGGGCTAAAATTGCTCACTTTACTCCTGAATTTTCAGTCATTTTAGAGCATTTTTCTTTGCATATTTTTTTGAATTCTCATTTTCACTCTGCTTTCTCTTCCCAACCCCAAAAGTCTTTTGCTCATATTAAACTCATTTACCCAAAGGGATGAGTAAATGAGTACTTCCCAAGGACAGTGATATCTTAAAAGAGAGCCATTTCCTAAATGAATATCTAATTGGTCAGATTTCAAGCAATATAACAGTTTCACTAGATTTTAGGTCATTCTCTTGTCCCCTGAAATATATTCCTTCACTATTATGTGGTATGGTGGCTTTTCAAATACTAAAAGCCATAGAATTCTTGCATGGAAGAAAATTAGGCATCATCTCAGTATGTAGGAGAGATAGGGATTAAAGTACTTGGTTGGAATGGGGACAGGGACCCCAAGTTTTCTGAAAGTCCCCAAGCCCTGCTTCTTTTCACCAGCCATTTCTGTAACAGTAACACCCCAGCCATCCTGGTAAAACGCCAGACTGACACACACAAACACGTATACGTACGGTGAGAGAACAGTGACACGCAAGTAGATAATACACTCTGGAATAGCCTTAAAAAGACTGCGGAAGCTTACTCTTACTGCCATACTGTCAAGTGAAATCACAACCAGGATTTTAAACAGAGAATATGGCCGAACAGTGAGGTGAAGGACTTTCTGTGGATCTCTGATTCTGTCTCAGGTTTAGAACTTTAGTGTGGAGAATGTTTGGGTTGTATGGTAAATAATATCAAATAAATACAGCCTTGAAATCAGTTCCACCATTACTAGCTCTTTGAGGGGGGATGTTGGGGTTCCCCTAACTTGCCTTTTCCCTTACTCAAATGTTAAATCCCATGCACCTGCTAAAGTAGTGATCTTCTCTTTGAAGCAAGAGTTCCCATGGCATTTCCCTAAGCACTCATGACTTGAAAAAGTACAGCCTCCAGGCAGGCCATGGTTGCCCTCTTTTAAAGTCATCACGACAGCTGTGACATTACTGGAGCTTTCAGATAGGTGAGGACTTGGCAGCCTCTGGACCATGGGCATTTGGGGCAGGGTAACTCTTTGTGGGGGCTGTTGCTCTGGCTAGTATTTTATGTTTAGCAGTATTATTGGCCTCTCCCCACTAGATGCCAGGCCTATGACCTCCTCTAGACTTCACAGTAAAAATTGTCTGGAGGCTTTGACTAATGTCTGGAGGCAAAATCAACTCTGACAACCATCGATATGAATTATCTCCATAGTCTTCAGAAAAAGTTCAAGGTTGAGATTGTGATTTCATATCACATTGTGCAGATGAGGAAATGGGGACAGTGAGGGATGCAGAGGCTTATCTTTGTCATGAGGCCAGCTTGTGTCTTTGTTGATCCCAAAGTGGTACAAAGGCTGGCCCCTCTGCTCTCTGCTGACTCTGCTGCTCAGTTCTCCTTGCTATGTTGTTGTGTAAACTATGCTATCTCTAGTTTGGAAGGCTTGGGTTTTAATATCTACCTTGCATTTCCCATACAATCATCTTACTGCTGGTCATGTGTCTCTTGCCTGGTTTGATAACCATGTCCTTAGTTTTTCCTCCAATTTAATCTGCTCATCTATCTTTCCATCTCCCTTTCACCCTTGCTGCCTTCCTCATTGTCTTCAGTGCTGGTTTAGAGTGGTCCCGGATCTGCCACTCTGGGAACTGTTGGAAAGTCAATTCCTCAGCCCCACTCCAAACCTAATGAACCAAGAACTCCAGGGTGGGCATCTCCATACCTGTTCTAACACACCCATCACTTGCTTCTAATGCTCTCTGAGCTTCGAGAATCTCTGGCCCACTTAACCAGCTCTGATACCTTGTTGGGGTACATAGGAATCCTAACTACCATGGCCACCACCTTCTTCCTTCCTATTTTATAACCTGCATTTAACTCCTTTTCAATTTTTTCTTTCATTAGCTATCAAACATACATTTGTCTTTCTGCTCCAAGCACCAATGATAAAACGAAACAGTGCAGCTATTGGGTGGCCAGTTGGGACATCACCTGGACTGCTACGCTGCACATGATTTTACAGGAGAAACCCCTGCCGTCATATCCCCGCCCCCATTCTTGGTGAACTCCCATGCCTTTTTGTGACTTGTTCTCAAATGTCCCCTTTTCTGAATTAGAGGGCTAGTCCCTCGCTTTCTAGTCCATGAACCTTACACATCTTCCTGTCATTTCAGTTGTCCAGTGACAGCATTAGTGTTTGTTGACCTGCTTCCTGGAATGTAGATAAGGCATCACCTATTTTTGAATGGTCAACACTGTGACCAGTCACACAATCACACCAGAATTATCTGAAGCATACAAACAAACAAACAAGCGATGCCAGAACACATCTCAAGACCTACAGAATTAGTCTTGCAAATCTGTTTTTAAAAAAAGCAAAAAAGCATTTCAACATAGTTGGATTGCTGGAAGCTGTGCTTAGGGCAGGCATTTAATCCATAATTTCTCGAATGTTTCATCAATTACTTAGCAAGGCTAACAGGACATCAGCTCTCCTAAGCCCTCAACTTGCCTCTCAACTCTGTGGGGTGTTTGCTTTCTTCTGTTTCACTTTCATCTTCCTCTAACAGCCAGACAGCAGTCACAAGTAATAAACACCATTTTTTTTGTGTTGTTGTTGCATTGATTTTAGTTATTGTCCTAACCTATGGGAACTCAAGGTAATATGTCCCCAGTCTCGAGTCTCCAACAGTGAGTGACCTCAAATTAGGAACAGCTATTTAAGCAGCTCCTAAAGTATTTTCAGGATTCTGATCATTTTGCACCAGCTCAGAAGCTGCCCGCGGCTTATCTTAATGATCCTTGGTGCTCTCCCCCATGCCTCTGAGATCTTAGGCTGGCTCTATACCTAGGTGAACCAGCCCAGTTCATCGCCCCTGCTTCAGGCCGGCTCAGCCCAGGCTGTAAATCTGTTACAAAGTCAGAGGGCATTCGGGTGGAGACTAATGAGGAAGTTCTCTGTTGGCCTAGAGGGTGGTTATAGAGAAATCGAAACTCAGCTGTTAAAACCGCTCTCCTTGTTCTTCCGAACTCATTCCTCGAGCCTCCTGGGAACCCTCTCCAACATCCCTCCCTCAAAGGCTGAGGCCAGCACTTAACAGGGAGGCTGTGGACCATGTACACCCACACCCGAAGTAGGGTGGTGGACCCAGGGTTGGGCACTTCCTCCATCTCTCGGGACCACGCTGGGCATGGGCAGCGCAGGGAGCTGGGCCTGCAACAAAGCCAAAGACAGAGTTTGGAGGTGCCCGTTCCCAAGGATGCTATGATGGAGAGGCAAGGGCGTGCTGACCAGAAGGGGTAAGTATTCAGGAAGCTACCTTGGATGTAGGAAGTCTTGGTCCCAAACGTAATCAGGCACCAGGAACCAGGCACTTTTAGAGGGTGAAACCAGAGAGGTCCGATAGCAGGGATTTTGGAGGGGTTAAACGTCATTTACCCCAATAAAATCACCTATGAGTTACTTTATTATGCCTTGAATCTGCCAATTTGCAGGTCTTTATAACATATTCTGGTGCCCACTTCACTGATTCTTGTGACTGGTTCCTGGATTGAAAGATGGGTGTGTGTTCTGGGATTCTTATTTATTACAAAATTATGAATGTAAGTTTTCCTTTATTAGAGAGAGAGAGAGGGGAGAGGGAGGAGGGAGGGAGGGAAGGAGAGAGAGAGAGAGAGAGAAAGAGAGAGAGAGAGAGAGAGAGAGAGAGAGAGTCTAAATGGGACCACCATGCCAGAGTGAAGGCAATAAGGACTAGGATTAGGATACAGAGGGTCCAGATAGCCTCAGAAGCAAGTTTGCATCACTCCCAGACTCCAGATAAACTACCCTCTTCGAACCAGTGGAGTACAGCTGGGAGTGAGGACCCCAGCTGCTCAAGGTTGAAACACTTTCTAAACAGGAATAGAGAGGAAGCATTTATTTTTGATATGTGGTCTGTGGTTTAAGGACTGCTGATGGCATCCTGAAAGCATGTTATGCAGAGTGTCAGCGACCCTCTCTTTGCACCAGGTGGAATGGGTTTTGCTTTTATTTTTTCACTCAGCACTGTGGTTTGAAGTGCTGTCTCTGTGAATTGGAACTGTCCAAATGGTTTTATTTTTAGTTTTCCCCCTTTGCAACGACTTCTTTGTTGGAGGAAAGACAAATGCTGGTTGCTAAGGAACAGTTATATAACCTTATGACCAACAAGCAGTAGAGTTTCTCTTATCCCCCAGCTTCTGAAAGAACCAAGGTTATACTATTCAGTGTAGAGTTCCCCTTAGATGGGGCAGATGGTCTGGGAATCAATTAGAGACGATGGGATTTCTCTCAGAGTAACTGGCATCTTGCTGCAGTAGAAGTTCATTGACTCTGAGTCACATATCTGTAAGTGGTTAATGATAAAAATCCATTTCCAAGCCTTTTATTAGAAAGCATCTATTTAGCTATAACCACTTATTTGTATGCTTCTGTCATCTCACAAGCACTAATCAGCTGTATCTTTCTGTTTCCTGATTTGATTGTAATTACTCTAGGATCTTGCTGGACCAAGTCACTCAGAAGGGGGCAGTCTTCTGGTAGATCATTAGAAAAATGCCTGAAAGAATTCAATGACTTCTTACAGACTTCGTATGCATCGGTGGTAGTCGGCAGAGTATTAGAGAAGGCATTCCCTTTTAGGTGTTTAACATCTAAGGCATTGTTTGGACCATCTTGTGTCTTCATCATTCACTCTGTCAACTTTCTCACTTGTTTCCTTAATGGAATTGGTAAACCAAAGGGAATGGTTGAGTGACAAATGGCATCTCTGTAAAAACAACAACAAAGGATTAGAAGAGTCTTATTTATTTTGGAGAGAGAACTTAGAGGATGTGTGTGTGTGTGTGAGAGAGAGAGAGAGAGAGAGAGAGAGAGAGAGAGAGAGAGAGAGAGAGAGAGAGAGAGAGAGAGAGAGAGAGAGAGAGAGAGATGGAAATTAGAATAGAGGATGATAAATGCCGTAATAGCTTACTTGTTTGGTAAAGGTATATTTAACCTCATTTGTATTCAACCTTCTGTAAATTAGTCTGGGCAATGAATTCAAAGTGGGGATTACAACAAGCATGGGCTTTGATGCCTGGTAGATGAGTTTAACATCTGAATCTTTTTACTTGCTCTCTGAATAACATGCTTAGCTACTGTATGCCTCGGTTTTCATATTAATAAAAAGCAGCTTATAAGCCAGTATTTAGTCAGTGTTGATGATGACTTCATTTAACAAGCACTTATTGATGACCATGATATCACCTTCAGATTGTTTGTGACTTGAAAAATCGTACTGACTTTAAGTGCCTTCTTACTAAATAAACAAAATACATTAGTATGCTCATGGTTTTGTACCAACTCGACACAAGCTAGAGTCATTTTAGAAGAGGGAACCTCAGTTTAGAAGGCAGTCCCACCGTATCAGCCTATGGCAAGCCTTTGGTGCACAATCCTCTTGATTGAGGATGAATATGGGAGGGCCTAACTCACTCTGGGTGGTGCCACTCCTGGGCCAGTAGTCCTGAGTACTGTAAGAAAGTAGACCAAGCAAGCCATGAGAACGAGCCAATATGCAACACTCCTTCATGGCTTCTGCATCAGCTCCTGCTTCCAGGCTCCTTCCTGCCTTGAGTTCATGTCCCGGACTTCCTTTGGTGATGGAGTGTGACCTGAGAGTTGTAAGCTAAGCCATTTCCTCCTAAGTTGCTTTTTGTTATGGTGTTTAAATCACAGTAATAGGAAACGAAGACAGAAATTGGTATGAGATCATGGGGTATTGGGGTGGCAGACCTGGCCACCGGTTTTTGGGATGGCTGTGGAAGAACTCTGGAACTTTGGGGTAGAGAAGGCTTTGGGTGTTCGGAGATCAGTGAGCTGCTGTGAGAACTAGAACGTAATACTGAGAGCAGTGTAGATGGCAGAGGCCTGGCTTTGAAATGTCGGAGGGAAGTTTAAGAGTCCCTTAAAGGCTCCATTGGGACCTTGTGAAATTTTGAATTACGAACTACTGAAGTGAAATCTTTGCTTTTCTGGGACAATGAATACTGGGAAGCAGGACCTGAAGAATCGTCTTTGATTAAGAAGAGAGCAGCATCACTGGGGCAGAATCCTCTGAGGGTATCTCAGCAGTCAACACAGAAGCTGTGGTCCAGAGGTGGCCAGCACTGTATCTTATGCTGACAGCCAGACCTGGTACTATGTAAGTCATGTATTCAGGTACCTTGAAGGCATGAAAGATCATGAAGAGGGGCTGAAACTTGGCACTAGGTGGCAGGGTTAGGGTCCCAGAAGAGAGCCCAGGAGAGGCTATTGGTGATGGTGCAGCCCAGTTTGGTGGATCTCTGAGCATTTTTGAGAAGCCAGGAGAAGTCAAGGACAGCAGTGGCTTCAGAATGGAGCCAGCCTTGGCCTAGGAGACAAGCTGGTGTGCTGCAGAGGCTGTGCCCAAGAAGGTGGAGCTGGCTGTCCAGACCCCTTGGAGTCTGGAGTATCAGGAGTGGGGTCCCAGAAGCCAAATACTGTGCTTTTAATACTGTTGAACTTCAGGTTTGCTTTTATTTGACTGTAACTTGTGTGGCTTGCTCTGTTTCTTTCTTCTTAGAGTAAGAAATTGTATGTTCCCCCCCCAGGAGGTTTCAGAATTTCAAAGAGATGTTCGGTTTTAGGAAGATCTAAATTTTAGAGAGACTGGTGTTTTGGAGAGACTAGAGTTTAAAGTGCTTGAATTTGTAATACTTGTGGGACTTTTAAAATTTAGAGTATGGTTTATATTGTGATATTGGTATTAGTGACATCTTGGAGGCAACAAGAGAAATTTTGGTTTAATAGTGATATGTTTGCGTATCAAGTTGACAGTATGTCACTTGTACTGGGAGTTTTGTGTGAACTTGACAGAAAGTAGTTATTTGGGAAAAGGGAACCTCAAATGAGAAAATGCCCCCAGGAGACTGGCCTGTGGATAAGCCTATGGTACAGTTTCTTGATTGGCGACTGATGTGGAGGGCCCAGCTCACTGTGGGTGGTGCGGCTCCTGGGATGGTGGTTCTGGTGCTGTAAGAAAACAGGCTGAGCAAGCTATTAGAACAGTCCAGTGAGCAAAATTCCTCGATGGTTCTGCTTCAGTTCCTGACTCCAAGTTCCTTCCTTGAGTTTCCTGCCCTAATGTCCTTTGATGATAGACTGTGACTTGGAGGTATAATCAAAATAAACTTTTTCCTCTCCAAGTGACATTTGGTCGTGGTCTTTATTACAGCAATAGAAAAATTCCCTGAAAGTCAATGATTCCTATGCTGTGGCAGACTACCAGATAGGATAATTTTTTTTACTGCATTTGAATTTCAGTTATTGTAAGTATTTACTATTTCATATTGACTTTTATAGTTATTTTTATCTGGTGACATGTACCTTGTCCACAACTGTTATGAACTATTCACATAGATTTAAATAGAGACAAAAGTTTATATAAACTTGTAATAATCTAAAGCAATCTGTTATTCTCTCTTTTACTATTTTGCTTGCTTCGAAGCAAATTCCACTTACATCTACATGGATATTGAAGGTACAGGTTTCCAGTCTGATTATACCAAATTGTGGGCGATAGGCTCTTGCCTGTGTTAGTGATAAAACCCTGATGCTGTTTGAAAAAAATAAAACAAAAAAGATTCTGAAAATGGACCAGCAACATAGAACTTTACTATACAGTAGTTAACTTTAATATAATCTAAACACAAATTCAGTTTATTATAACATGCTTGTGGTCTATATATGGAGTACTATAGAAACTTAAACATTGAACAGCAAAATGGCAAATACTTATGGAGTGCTTGCTGTGCAACAGGGCATTAGCTATGCTAACTAACACTCTTATAGTAACAGAGGATCCCTGGCTGTGAACAATTTAAAATGTTGTAACAATTATCTACTTAGCAAACTTCATAAAGATTTTTTTTAAACTTTAGTTGATTGGACAGATACTTCTGCAATAATTATGAAAGTAAATCTTTGTGTGTACTACAAGAGAAAGCTAGTGCCTGGGCTAGTTGTGAGGGCAGGAAAATATTTCCTACAATATGATATTAAGCTGAGATCTATAGGAGAATGGGAAGTTGTATGTGTGTAGAATGTTTATGTTGTAGGTTGTGATGATTTGAATGCCAGCTTGTCAGGATTTGGTATCATCTGCGAGACAAGCCCACAGTAACACCTGGGAAGGATTATTTAGATTAGATTAGCCTCTGGGCATGCCCTTGAGGGATTACTTTGATTAGGCTAATTGAGGAAGGTAGGGTAGCAT